TGTTTAAAGGCTGACCAGCCGAGGATCAGCTCAAACAGCTTCTGCTTTCCTTAAACTCAAACACAGAGCAGTTGGCAGAAACATCCGTCTACCGCAACCACCCATCATGGCTGCTTTTAACATAAAATACGTAAAAGTACGCAACAACAGGCCGGGCATAGTGGTGTTGGATGACCTGCCTTTGTAATACGGTCGTGAAAGGCTGATGATGCAGTTTCAGTACACGTTGACAAAAGCGAGAAAAAACAAAAACGAAACAAAACCTGAAGGTTTGGAAGCAAGGGTGTGCTTAAAAGGTTTCAACACACATTTAGCACATTTTATTTATTTTATTTTTTTTTATTTGACTTAATTAAAGAGACTAAACATCAAATAATATAATATATATTATAATCCAAGAGGCAGCTTACAAGTTTGTCTTCCTTTGCTTTTTAAATGGTATAATTTATTCTTTATAGAAAGAATCTTAAAACATTTAGCACTGAGCTAAATATATTGAATATCCATAGCATCCATGCATTCAATACAGACTTGAAAAGAGCCAGTTAAAACTAAAGATTGGTGCAAATACCCTCTCTTAGCTTGTTATTGGCCCCCGGGAAGTGGCGGCCTAGTGGTTAGGACATAGAGCTTTAACCCTGTAATGCCTAATGTATCATATTTGATACATACGGTTTCTGAAATGTTTTACGTCTGACACCTTTTGCATAATTTAATGGTAAAACCTTTACTTAAAATCCTATTGTACACAATTAGATATACCTGATAACAGAGGGCAGAAGACTACACAAAAAATAATCTTGACTTATCGCATAGTAATAAATTATTAATATCAAAAATAAATTTTTCTTTTTTCTTTTTACATATTTTGTTAAAAGGCCAAATAAGGACTTCAAACCAAAAAAAAGTAATTTTCTGTTTTGTTTTATTCTTGGATCGGGCTTTAAAGGGTTAAATCCTGAGGTTGTGAGTTCTAAACATAGTCCCAAACATACTCTGGGCCTCTCAACAAGACCCTTAACCCCTGACTGCTCCGCAGGCGCTGCACAGTGGCAGCCCACTGCTCCCCAAAGGGAATGGGTTAAATGCAGAGAGTTTATTTCTCCATTTTAAGATCAATAAAAGTTCAGTTTATTTATTTATTAGCTACTTATCAGTCCCTTCGGCCACAGATGGCAGTTGGAGGACTGGTGGCGCCAGTGTACGGCAGCCTTGCTTCTGTCAGTGAACCCCAGGGCAGCTGTGGCTACAACGCAGCTCGCCACCATCAGTGTGTGAGTGTGAATGGATGAATGACTGAATGCAGTGTAAAGTGCTTTGGTCAAGTCTCCCTACTTGAAAAAGCACAATATAAGTACAGGCCATTTACAATAGGGATGAGTATCGGCATGGCTGTTGCGATGCGATATGCATCGCAGTACTTGGATCGCGATACAATATTATCACAATATTGCAATGTTAGTATATATTGCAAAAGTTTTCCTATCAAAATTAAATGTATAGATAAAAAAGCAAGTGCTGTGTATTTTCATCAGAAGATATTGATGGTTTAGTTTTTTGGTATTCATGTTGTTTGGGGTCTGAGTCAGTCCACGTCTTCCACTCTGAGTGCTTCAACTACAGATATGGTGCTGCTCCAAAAAGCAAAAGGGCTTCATAGTGTCATCTGATAGAGTGGTGGTGCAGAGGTAGTCAATTTCCCCTCAGTTTTAGGTAAAAATGTTTTGTTTAAAAAAAAAATCGATACTAGGAACTGAAAGATCGATATTATATCAGGCAGCCAAAAATCGCGATATATCGCCAAAAGGATTTTTTCGCACAGCCCTAATTTACAATTTCTTTGCTGTTTTCCTGCAGCAATTACACTAAGAACACTTATACACGTATGCTTATTTATACTTATAGCTTCACAGAGACGTAGCTCTGTCTTGAATGCTAAACTTAACCTTTTAAAGCCCGATCCAAGAATAAAACAAAACAGAAAATTATTTTTTTTTTGGTTTGAAGTCCTTATTTGGCCTTTTAACAAAATATGTGAAAAGAAAAAACAGAAATAAATTTTTGATATTTATAATTTATTACTATGCGATAAGTCAAGATTATTTTTTGTGTAGTCTTCTGCCCTCTGTTATCAGGTATATCTGATTGTGTAAAATAGGATTTTGAGCAAAGTTTTTACCATTAAATTATGAAAAAGGTGTCAGACACAAAACATTTCAGAAACCGTATGTATCAAATATGATACATTTGGCATTATAGGGTTAAATCTTGGGTAGAAGAAGAAATAGCTGACATCATGGAAACCAGGTTCAAGAAGATTTTACTCATTATGATTGCTTGGACCATGCTTATTAGGGGACTGTTTAAATATTCAAATTGAAGAATTTAAACACTTGAAATATATATCTTTCTATTATTTTCTGCTTCCTTACCAGAACTTTAAAATACTCTGTACTTTTTTGCAGACTTTAAGGAACCATATGAGTCTTTAGAAGCTGTACCCTTAAAGCCCAATGCCCTAATTATATGATCAGAGCCCCAGGTGGCTCCAGCTTTAAGGCAACGGCTCCTGCCAGGATGAAGGGGTCCATCTGGTGATAACTACTTTTGGGATTTAAGCTTTCACTAAATGTGTCTCCCGTGAAAAAAGAAAATCCTGATGGTATCCTGCAGATCAATTTTTTTCCTGGGGCACTGTAGCAGGTTAATTCACCCCTGCCCTTGAGTTTGATGCATGCTTGTCACCATGTCTTTTATTTTAACAAAATATTAAGTAAGAAGTATAGAAAAAAACATTTGTCTTTAGGTCTTTCATGAGAAATCCCCACATTGTCATTGGATTTTGGTCAGCAGTTGGACTGGGTCATTATAACATACCGTATGCTCTGTGCTCAGTCATTCCACAGTAGCACAGTCTGTATGTTTAAGGTTGGTGTTTTATTGGAAAGGGATTGAACATTGTTTCGTCTATAACTTCTGACAGATTTTCTTCAAGGATTTATCTGTATTTAGATCCTTTTATCAACCATCAACATTAAGCAGTTTCTCTTCCCCGTCTCTGCTAAAGAGAAAATATCCCAACAGCATAATGCTCTCACCACCAAACGTCAGAGTTTTTTTTGCATTTTTGCAGAAAAAGGATAAATTTGGTCTCATCTGACCGTGGAATCTTTTCACACAATTTTTTTTCCTCTTTCTTAACCATAAACTTAAAACAGAAAGGAGGCCTTCTAAAGGGTTTCTTTTAAATATTGCCTCTGTATGCTTCTCCTGCTTGAGCTTTGGATATCAGCAGCTCCTCCAAAGTCACTGGTCCTCTTGCCATTTGTCTTTGATAGAATCCGTACTTTAAAGTTGTAGGGAAGTGGCTGTTAAAAGACTTTAAACAAGTGAATGTGGTTGTTTATCAAGGGGGCTGTATTGTTGTGGCGGAAGGTTCGCAAGCTTTTTGCTTGTGGCCGGTTTGTCGGCAGCATCTTGCTAACCAGTTAGCAACTTAGTGCTACAGTAGTAGGTTCCCAATGGGAAATTCCATTGGGACTAAACCGTTGACTTAGAAACGACACTGTCAAGGAACGCTATGGACAGCGGAAACATGCAAGAGGAGGAGAGTTTAGTGTCGGAGGTCGTGGATGAGTCTCCTCCGTCATCCATTTTTTATTTAGAGGGGGAAAGCGGGGACGAAGACGTTGTGGAAGAGGACGCCAGGGCAGCAGAAGCTTGGTTTGGTGTAGAAGGCTTACAGCCGTACATGTTTGAGCCCTTGCCTCGCAACGCTGCCAGTTCTGTTAGCTCTATGCCTGCCGAAGACACAGACGTCCATCCCCGTGAACACTGGGACGCAACTCAATGGGACATGATTCTGATTTCAACTGTGAGTATATTAGCTGCGACATATGAATCAAGATGCTATGACCAAAAAAATTTGATGGACAGATGACCGTTGATATATGATTGGCCGAATTTAGGTGTTCAGGCTGACGTATAACTAACTGGCCTGCATTAGATAACGAAAAAACCCCACAAATTTTAAGACAGGATTTTATTCAAAAATAGAAATTTTCGAACTTTTGGGACAATATCTTCTGATAAAGAGTACATTTATATACATGTTAAGCCAGAATTTATTTGACATTTAAAGTCGTAGGTGAGTCATATTGAAATTTAAAAACTCTCCTCCTCTTGCATGTTTCCACTGTCCATAGCGTTCCTTGACAGTGTCATTTCTAATTCACCAATTTAGAGCTACTTGGTCCCAATGAAATTTCCCATTGGGAACCTACTAGCACTAAGCTGCTAACTGGTTAGCCAAACGCTTCCGACAAACCGGCCACAACCAAATGCTTGGGAACCTTTCGTCACAACAATCCCGCCCCCTTGATAAACGACCAATCTCATTCACTTTATTCACTCGTGTAAAGTCGGGCACCGCTCGGGAGAATTCGGAAATGCAACAGTTGGAACAGCCGTGAATTCTCCCGAGTGGTCTGTATCTCTGCTGAAGACACAGACGTCCATCCCTGTGAACACTGGGACGTAACATTTCAACCGTTGCGTATATTAGCTGCGACATATGAATCAAGATGCTATGACCGAAAAATTTTGATTGACAGATGACAGTTGATATATGATTGGCTGAATTTAGGTGAACAAGCTGACGTATAACTAACTGGCCTGCATAAGATAATAATAATAAAAAAAAAACAGATTTTAAGACAGCATTTTTTTTTTTTATAAAAATGTTCTAACCTTTGGGACGATATAGTCTGATAAAGAGTACATTTAAGCCACAATGATTTAACATTTAAATATGACTTCCTTCGACTTTAAGGCAATTGTTTGTAACCTACTGGATTTTTTTTATTCAAATAAAATACTTTATTGAGCGAAAAGGGATAAAGCAAAGGGCTCTCAGTGATTGAGTCCCCTCCCCTGAAGCCTTTCACCTGGCCGTCCCTCGCGCCCCCCTCCCTCGGCTTTCCGCCGTTGCCAAGGTTTCCATGTACGCGCTGCCTGCACCAGCGGCGCCGCGCCGCTGTCATACATTAGTGCCAGACATGGCGGCGGAGCTACAGCCCGAGTGCATTTCTGCTCTCCCGTCTTCCTGGACTTATGGGGTTTCTCGGGACGGACGCGTCTTCTTCATTAAGTAAATATACCTTCAACATACTCCGGTCTAAAAGTCCTTCATCCGGCTTCTATTACGCACAGAGTCTGGGCTCGTTAATAATAATAATACATGCGTTATATTCTCCCTGCTCTGTGTCTCAACAGCGAGGAAGCCCAGAGTACAACCTGGCTGCATCCAGAGAGCGGCGAAGCGGTCATAACTGGACACAGGAAAACTCCAGGTAAGAAGAAACGACACCCAGCTGTCAAGTTTCTGTTAACCGCAGCGCGTCATGGGTTGTTATGTTTCCCTCTGCAAAAAAACAACAAAAACCGGACTCTTCCCACGCTGATAGAGTGAAATATATGTAGAGAGAGGAGCTCTGTCACCCCTGCTCCCTTCCTTGATGCATGAGTGGTCTCCTGGCTCTCGTGCTGTGGAAAGTGAGCCCCCCTCATGCCCACCGCTGGCCGCTCCAGCCTCAGGTTGCTTCGGTCACTCAGGTTGTCGAGTTGCCCGCCAGGTTAACGTAACTTGAGAACTTGAAAAGTGACTGTGTGTAAAAAAAACACCCAGGCTGTAAAACAGAGCTGCAAGTCATTCTTAATGTTGTTATTTTTTTCTTTTTTTGAATGATTAAAGGAAAGGAAAAGGATGCAAAAACAAAACCATCACTAACATGTGATCTCCTGTGGGATTAGTTCTGTTTACATCAACATCTACAGCAGCTGTAAAGCTGGCTGCTAAGATGTTTCATATCAACAAAGCCTAAAAAAAACAACAAAATACAAAACAATCTTCGGATTTGACATTGAAATTCAATTCATTTTATTTCTATTGCAACAATTAAAACACATCATCTCAAGGCACTTTACAGATCACCAGATCATCCAGTCATATTCATTCATTCTATTTAAGGAAAACCAGTTGATTGCATGGACTCATTGATTCAAAGGCAATCTATGCATGCTTGTGGCGACAGTGGAGAGGAAAAACGTCCTTTTTAACAGAATCAGAAATATGTATTAGAGCAGTAGAAAACGTTAGCACTGATTGGAGAAATGGGAGAAACAGTAAAGCTACATGAACCGTGTGTTTTCTGTTTTTCCTTTCATTTAAAAACTGATCCAGGATACACTTTCAATTCAGTTCCATTTAGTTTATTTCTATAGCTCCAATTCACATCATGTCACCTCAAGGCACTTTCCAGTTCGCCAGATCATCCAGTCAGATTGATTCAAAGTTTTCTATCTAAGAAAAACCAGCTGATTGCATCGACTCATTGACTCTTCAGCAATCCCTCACACTAAGTATGCTTTTAGTGACAGTGGAGAGAAAAAACTCCCTTTGAACAGGAAGAAACCTCCAGCAGATCCAGGCTCAGTTTTAGTGCCCATCTGCTGAGGCTGACTGGGATTCAAGGAGACAGAAGCAGACATCCAAAAGGCAACCGTAAAGGGCGGCCACGTCCAGGAAATGCACAGCCAGGCAGACAAGCTCCAAGCCAGCTCCCATGTCAGAGGATGAAGAGAGAAATAAGTTCCTGTTGTGGTTTTTACTGCGACATCATGCATTCAACACTGTCCGCCTTTAAACTTAAATTAAAGGTATAGAGGACGATCTTTTATCTGTGGGTGGATCATCTTAATAAGTGGTCCTCCTAATTGTCAATAATTCTAGTGATATGTTTACGTCAGGCCGTTCTACGTGCTCATCCTGTTAGCTATCTTTTTCTGCGAACACGTGCTTTCAGGCGTATATCTGTGGTTAGCTACGGTTTCAGACACTCATTGAAACTCACCTTTCTCACCACTGTTCTTTGAAAATGGCCGAGGGTCGTAATAGAAAAGGTTTTTATGAAGTGTATGAGAAGAAAAGAAAGGCCTTAATAGACGCAGATATATCCCATAATGCTTTGCGCGGAGAGCTCTCTGCCCGCAATGCATTATGAGATTTGCTGTCACAGCGGCCCGCTGTCGCCATAGGCTGCCGTTACCAGACAGCAGCGACTAATAACAAAAATGGCGCGGGCACCACGCAGTGGAGGAGGAGTTACGTGACCAACGGAGCAAAAAGCAGTGATCATCTGTCTGAACGGTCAGTTAACTGAGTTTGCTATAAAGTTCACTATATAGTCCCCGCTCTATATAGTGATTGAGGGATTTAGAGGTTAGAGCGGATGTTCGGACACAGTAAGCTTGTATGAGTATTAAACGGGGCATGCACGAGCAGAAATGGGCTCGTGCATGCTCCCACACGCCTTTAATAGAAGTTCTCTCTCTGGAGCGTGTACAGGGTTGTGCATGTGCATTTTTTTTTTAAGTGGGATGGGCGGGTCTTTTTAAAAAAATCGCCAAAATCCTCCACAATACCTCTAACTGCAAGCCTCCTATGTATTACTGACTACCTGTTTTAATAGGTTTTATAAAGCCAGAAAATGTACAAACATTCCGACTTAGGATAATAATTTGGATTTTCAGTTCAAGATTGATTTCCGTGCTTTTACTGGTGTATTTTTCTGAATATTTCTAAAGCCTCTTACATGTTTTCATACCTATTATTCAGCTATAGAGCTTATAGCTGATCATCGACAAGCTATTTTTATAAAGCTCTGAGTAGGGTTGACAATACTAGAATTCTGATATCATTACTGTGGAAAACATTCAATACCATGGTGATAAAAAATGCTAAATTGTAAAAGACATAAAAAAAATATTTATTAACATGAAAAACACGCCGTTTCCATCAGCAACATGGAGCGTGCTTTCTCCACAGAATCACAGGTGCTAATGGTCAATAAATAACCCAAATAAGACACAGTTTGAAAATATTTTAAAGTTTTTTTTCTTTTATAGTGAAAATAATCTAGAACTCTAAAATTCACATTAGCAAAAATATGCAAACAATACTTGTATTTAGTGTTAAAAGGAAACCAAATTAGTATTATGTTTCAATAGTGTCTGATTATCCATAATTTTGATAAAAATTGGTTTGAATTGCTGAAATCAAAACAAAATATATTTTTCAACCTATTAGAAAATAAACACCTGTTCATTTGTGTCAGTGCTGGCCGGTTTGCACCCTGGACAGGTCACTAGTCCATCACAGCGTAACACAGAGCGACACAGGACAAGCAAGCAAGCATGCATGCACACAACCAGACCAAACAGCACTTTAAATGTGGCAGTTAACATATCTTTAATGGTGTTTGACCTTTGGAGGGGAGCCAGAGTATCTTGAATGAGCATATAGATGCACAATGCTAGTTGCATGCCAAAAGGGCTCCTGAACTCTTTATCTTTTAACTTTAAGTCAAGACTGCTAACAAATGCATTCCATTCCCCTTCTCTCTGTAACTGTAGAGTGAAATAAATTGTTTTTTAGTCAAATAAAACCATAATTTTTCCCAAACAGCTACATATTTTCCTATGGATGAATAAAAATCAACACAAGGCTGTAAATTCCTGCAGGTTATGGAACAAAAATATACAGATAAAACTGAACTAAACTCAACTCTAATAGAAGATAGATAACATTACTCCAACCTTTTCTTTTTTTTTTCCACTAAGCAGCAGAGTTCAACCTAAAGTTTTAAGGAAAAAACATTGTCATTTTGAATCCCTGATAGCTTTACAGAAATAAAAAAAACATAATCTTTGATTTAAAACACAGAGGCAACACTGTGCTTTATATTTAAGACAAGATGATTAGACATTTGAAAATATATTTACCATTTTACTTCAGCAGTTATTTGAATGGTTAGCAATAAAAACAGCAGTTTTTGTGCATTTATTGTTGAATAGGCAGACCCATACTTTAACTCTGAGATTTCCAAAAAGACTTGTCAACATTTTCTAATCTAACATCGTCCGTACAAGGCAGAATCATACATAGACGAGAGCATCTTGGCTGTAATACGTTCAGCTTTTTGCAGCTGCTGAAGTCTTTCTAGGGTTTATATCGGCTTCATGAAAAGGAGACATACCGTACCTTTGTAGAAAATAGTTTCTTCTTTACACCTTTAAAGGAAACTGCAGCTCCAACTTGAAAGGCTTCAGTTTGAAACAAATTATTTAATTAAGTTTATCCAACTTAATTTACTTAGTTTCTAAATTGGCAGATAAAATCATTTTAGATAAATTAAATGAGCTAAATAGATAACTTGGAGTCTTCAAGCTGTGTTTGTGTGCGTGACTCTAGATTTTCTGATCAGAAAATGACAGGAAAGAGTTTATTTCTTAACTAGCCAATCAGCTGTTAGAGCCAGTCAGGCATTAAATTGCCCGGTTCTGGTTGGCAGCTAATGTCCTCAGTGCATCTCTAAAGTAACCTGACTCCGCCAGATGGATTTGCTCCGCATATCCATCTGGAAACCTTCCGTTCCTTCCGAAGTAATTTTGGGAAGGGGCGAAAATACTGGTTAGCTGATTGGCCTATGTTGGTGATAGACGGGCCAAATAAACCAATCAGATCAACGAAGCATATGACGTACTAACAGAGCGACGACGAAAACACAACCACAAGCCAGGCTACTCTTACCGAAACCAGTCGGGAGAAGAGCAAAAACATCTTTTCCTCTGAGAAAAGCCTCCAGAGCAGTGTTTTGCTCTTCTTTCAGTGAAGAAATACTCTGTAATTCCGATAAAACTTGCTCGATAGCCACGCTAACGCTAGTTTCATCGGCTGAAGCCGCCATGTTCTTTAGACTGAACTGTCGCGCTTCTCGTTGCGTCACACCTCAACCCGCCTCAAAGCCAACGCTGATTGGACGTTCGTTTGGTGAACGGCTCCAAATTTTCTTTAACGGAGAGTCTCCAGACTGATCTGCGAGTGAAACTTTGAAAGCTCGCGAGATCAGGATGGTCTCTCTAAAGCCCACCTAAACCAATATTGGATTGTTGAATTTGAAGATATTGTTTTCATAGAATTTTATGTAGATATTGGAAGCATTTATCTCAGTAAAACTTAAATAAAGAAAACTCATTTTGTTTTTCCTCATTGGATTTTTTTTTATATGACATTAAAAAATGTTAACTTCATCCTGGAGAGAAATATCAGCTGTGCTGCTGCCATCAACACATTTGTTTATAGATGTTGGAGATCGGCCTGTTTTTCAGTGTAGTCCTGTTTCTCTGACTGTGACTGGCTGGAAGTGCTCTCTTCGTCCTCTGATATGGGAGCTGGCTCGGAGCTCGTCTGCCTGGCTGTGTGTTTCCTGGACGAGGCCGCCTTTTACAGTTG